TTCAATCAAATGGACAAGTCCATTTGACTCAATCAAAATGATGAGTCAGCCACCCAGGAATGCACACTTCTGCAAGCTCCAGGACTATGTTTAACTCAAACTACCCCTCTGCACACTACAAAGATTTCAGTGCAATACATCACACCTAGGGAAAGGCACAATGTATTATTTCCCACTTATTGAATTCAGAGACTGGAACTTATTTTTTAATGTTAAGTTTGGGTTCTGGGTTTAGTTGGGCAAGAATTTCCCTCAGCTGCCATTAATCCTGGCTGAAGTTAATCCCTTTCCATCACCGACCCAGGAAAAACCCACCAAATTCACATATTGTCTGTTAACAAAATAAAAACAAGACTAAAAAAGGAAGCAGGTGATCACGTCTTTGAACAGAAAGCTAACTGATGACCGAAGAACTTATAACTTGGATCCAAGATGAAAGGGGAGGAGAGGACATCTCACAGATGGCTTCACCTCAACAGAGATGAGAATCTCAGCTCATGAGGGAGAAAACAGGGAGGTTACCACTTTAGATCATATACTGTAAGGTAAACCTCTGTTGAGTAGGTGTGTGTGTGTGCGTGTGTGTGTGTGTGTGTCTGTGTCTAAGGAGGTAAGGAGCAAGAAGGGAAGATTGGAGTAGGAATCATGTCTTCCAGTCTTGAATGCTTCCCGCTGCAATCGGTAAGGCCACACCATGGAGTTTGATGTTAATGGCAATGCTCTGTGATGTCCACTACCACTGCCTTCTTCCAGCTGAAGAGAAAGTAGCCTGTGCCAGCCCCTGCTGCTACCGCAATGCAGAGGTACCCGTTGTAAGTCATGAAGATGAGCATGAGGAAGTAGCTGATGACCACCTGGATGATATGCAGCACTGTTTGCAGGAGGTGAGGAAAGCTCAGCATCTGCTGCCTGGGGAGTAAATAAGGACACAACAATCAGGACCCTAGTAGTGTTTGGGCCACTCTGCATATCAGAAGAAAGGGGGAACAGTCACAGTCAGGAGCTCAGCTGGAAATGGACTCTTCCACAGCCACCCTCGCAATTCATGGGTACTTGTCTGCATGTGTGTTGTTTACTGGTCCCTACAAATGAAACATGACAAGTCTATCAGGCTAATTAGCATTGCTCGGATATGGTTCTAGGTCAGCAGGAAGAATGCTCTTTTGGAAGGAAGGTGGAGGAAAGCAGACTTACCTCTCTGACTTACTTCCATCTTGGATCCTGAAAGGGAAGCCCTAAACCCACCCATATGTATTTGCCTGAACATTTTCAGGCCTTCCACCTTTGCAAAGCTCACATTCTAAAAAGATGGAAATAGAATTGAGGGTTGTGTAGTGCAGTATAAAGTACTGAATTAGGGATCAGGAGATCTGGCTATTTATCCCCTCTGTCACTTATTCTGTCACCTTCAGCAAGTCACAACCTGTTTGGGCCTCAATAAGCTCATTAGTTTAATGAGAATAAATAATACTGTACTCACTTGATAGCAGGATATATTGGTCTGTAGGATTCCTTGAATTCCAATTTGGTTTTAAGACCTACATTTCTACTAAAACTGAATCTCAAAAACTATTTGCAAATCTGTGGATCACCATCAAAATACTTTCTTAGATGGAATACAGACATGTGTACAGTCTTATATTGTATAGACTAGAGCTGCATTGGTAGAACTTTTTATAGAAGGAAATCAATTGTATTCTGCCATTATTCTATACCCTGACCTGAATTTCTTATTTCTTATTATTTTGGCAATTATTAAAAAAGGTGAGAAATTCCTTACCTTCTTCGAAAGTGACAATACTTACAATTTGGGACAAACAGCCATGTTTGCAGGAGGCTTCCTAGCGTTCCTCCTTTGGCTTGCTTATGACCTACAACAACCCCAAGCTTCTGAAGACAGTTCTGATCAAGGTCATATGGAATCACTAACTCAAGAAGAGGGCTGTTGCTAATAAAATAGCTGTTTTGCTGCTTGACTAACCCAGTTCTTCGGAACTTCCATCTAGATATGTTCAATCTTCTTACCCAACAGTTTTGTGCGTCTCCATAAGGATGGTTCCATTTGGCCCTGGGACAGGCATGGAATTATAGCGAATGCTGACTTGTGACTTGCGCAGCAGGCTCTCTCGGGCTATCTTGAGTCCCTCATAGAACATTGCTAGTAAGAACACTGCCACAAAGGCTCCAGCCATTTCTAAGTAGGGAAGGAAAAGACGGGGATACTGTCAAACATGCCAAATCATTAGCTGGTGTGCTGTTCAAGCTAGAAAGACAACATAGCAAAAGTGCTAACAATTTCTCAATACATTATATTGTTGCGTCTTCACTTACACCGTTGGAAGAGAACAAAGATGGTGTTAGTGAAAACCATTGCCTCCAGTGAAGAACACAGTCGTTTTCTGATTATGATACCAAAAAAAAATCTGAACAACCTTTTGGTCTGGCTGCTTTATGCAATTAAATTAGCTTATTACATTGAAACATGATGTAGAATATGCAAAAAGAGAATAAAACAATATTTTAATTTGCTGAGTGTATTTCTTGAATAGACATTTCAATTCTAAGTCTCACAATGTGATGTGCTGGTAATGATATGAATGTATTCCCATTGCTGATTTCATACACTACCTGAACTAAATGCTCCCTTTCTTCTAAAACAAATTGATTTTGTGGATCCAAAGATACACTTAAGGAAGTCCAACCAACTATTGAGATTGTGCAATTTAAATTTAAGGCACATGAACTCAACACTATAGACACAAAGATATGGATGATTAGTTACCCAAAAACTAGGACTGACCCTAAGATGAGTCATGCCTAGAATCAGATATGATGTAGACCACACTAGGCAGGTCTAGAAGGTTTGGGTCCCTCACCTAGCTCTGACATACGAACTCTGTGTGATTTAGGGCTAATCATTTCACTGTTTGAGGTTTAATTTGTCTACAAAATGGAAGGACTGTACTACATCTATAGTTTTTAACCTAGTGTTATTTTGTGGTATGGTATGTATAAATAAAATGCTTATGTCATTTGAACTTGACTACAGTTTTATGTTCATGACCAATACATTATCACACAAGGAAGCACTCTGGCAAAGGAAAGAAGGAAATGGATTGCAAAATACTTCCATTTAATATCTAAATTATTCTTCAGAAACTCTAAAATAAACACGTTACTTAAGGGAGGCTTATGATAGGATCAAAATAAGCATTGTGTAGCCTCACCTACTAGGTAGGAAATATGAAGCAAAATGGTTATATATTATAACCATAATGACTGGGTAATTACGGCAGAAAGAGGTGTTGGGTTTCCAGACTCTGTCTTTGTCTCACGTGTCACCTCCTCAAACACCACCTGATGGCTTACTCACCTCCAGCCGTATTGATCACCAAACCAGAAAACAATAGCTCCACATTCTTATAGTCAAAATAGAAGGTCATCTGCTGCCAGAAACCAAAACAAGTCAGTTAGAGATGACTGAAGATTTTAAATGAGAATTTCAAGTTTTAAAGAAGCTTAGATCATTTAAAAGTAGCAGATTTGGATAAGAGACATTCACTTTAGTGGGAGGCTTTCTTTTTAGTAGTTTTAGCATTACTGCCACAGGCACTCTCTGCAAGAACTCTCCTTTGCTCCCCCAACCCCCATCAACTTTTGTCTTTTTTTTTCTCTCTTTTCTACACAAAGGAGAAAGACTAGAACTTAATTCAAAAAAAGGTTCGTTTTAAAGAAAGGAATACAGAAGAACCCTAGAAATCTCAGTTCTGGTGTAGCACTGAAATTAGCCTGTCACATGGTCTTAGACAAGACTCTTGATTTGTCTGGTTGGCCTTGTTTTTTCCTTTTTTGGTAAATGACCTGTACAGATACTATCCTCCCAGTCCTAAAATTTGATTACTTCTATTACCCAAGCAGGTGGGAGAGGCCTGGGCTACCTCTCCTGTGGCACTCACCATCATCATCATGTCGTCCATTCCATGGGAGTGGGGGGCTGCAGTAGTATTGCTGTGGTCCATAGAGGTCATCCCCATGTGGTGGGAATGGTTCATTTTTCCAGGAAAAGTTGAGAGTCAGCAGAAGATTCTTTAAAGAAAAACAATTTTATGTAATAACTTAGGGATATAACATCTTGGTTCTTGATAAATGCTTTGTCTATTTGGGATTTTTTCCAATGAATGAACGCTCTCCTAGCATCTTTACCCAGCATTATTTTTCATAATCTACAGATGGAGACATAAGTAACTGTGCTGACAGGGATCACTTTTAGAGATTGTGGCAAAAGGGATTCGCACTAAGGTTTTTAGAAACCTTATTCTGCAGAATGATTCCTTTAAAAGATATATGTTCTATGCATGTTCAAATTTAAATATAAGATGGAGAAGAAAAGTAGGTTCTTTGGGTTGCAGGAAACAGACAATTTGTAATAATGGACAAATTGATGGCATTAATGAAATTTAACTGTTCTAAGGTTTGCTAATCATAAATGTCAGCCAGTCGATAAAAAGCAAGTACTTCAGATAATTCATTCACCTAATTGGGCATCCTGTGTTCAATCAGGATACTAAGAATATGTTCTCACATAAAGGACAACCAGCCTTCATCTAATTGAAACAAAGAAAAGGTCCATTGCTGCCCTAGGCAAGCAGTGTGCGCAGAATTTAGATATAATCCTAGCAGAGCATTAGAGCTAAGAACACTGAAAACTAGGTATGAATTGCATATTTTATATTGAATTAAGTCTAGACAGCTGTATATTCAGTCTTGTATCTCTACTACATCACTGCTTTACTGCAAAAGTCCATCTGGAACATAAAGCAAGGAGCAAAAAAAAACTGTTGCTGGGGTGGGGAAGCTGAAGAGGTAGAGAGGGAGGTGTTGGTGGATTCTCTTTATGTGTCCCTCAACTTCAAGTTGAGGTAGAGCAGGGATGAGACAAGCATCATGGTTAATTTTTCCTGCCTATGATGAAAACTGGCAAGACACAAATAGTATAGCAATAGAAGGGACTCCACCTTAAGGCTAAGATTCCATTTTAAAAACTAAGGAGTCAGGAGGTAATATTCCTAACATATTTTATGGTAATTAGCCAACAACCTACCCTATCTTAAGGCAGGGCAAGCAGTCCAAAATGATGTGTTTCCACTGCTTGAGGGTAACCAATATCTTGGAGAAGAACAGGATCAATACATTCCTTGTGTTAAGTTTATCTTACTGAATATCTATAGGAATAACTATGGATGATGACCTAATATCTCTTATAGATCATGAGACCACATATCAAGCCTATATCCCCTGGCCCTCTGCCCCATTCTTGAAATCCTTAAAAAGATAGATTCCTAAGCCTCTAAGTGCATCTCCTATCTGAGGTTGCCCATACTTCCCTTTCTTTGAGTGTATACTTTGCCTTAACTAAAGCCTTCTCCCTTCTAAACTTAACTGCATTTTGTCTCTGTGCTCTTCCAGTAGTAAGCATCTTTATTACTTTGCTATTTTATTCAATTTTCTAGACTTAAGCACTAGTCTTCTCTCTCTTTGTTGTACTTTAGACAAGTAGGGAAAGGCTACTGAGATCTCTGATTTGGGCTTCCAAGTTCCCATTGCCTGTGTGACCCAGGCAGGACTGCAGCTGTATGATCATGCTCTTTAATAGCCTGCCTGAAAATCTCCTTTCTTTGCCTTTGGAAAGTTCTCAGACATAATCTCATACCATCTAGTGCTCTGTGGCTCCCCCAGATCCTGGAGTGGTAGGGGTGAATCCACACCATGCAGATTCAAGAAGACACTGGACACCAGGTGACCCTGGCTTCAGGAGTTGGCAAGGGATTTGCCCCATGCTGAGCAGGAGTTCAATGAGCTTCCCCTTCCTCCCTGCTATCTACTGCACAGCTGCTGCCATTTGCTGCTACTCTCACCTTAATGAATTCCTTCCTAAGCTACACTACTACACCCTGTTCAAGAATTTTTTCTCAGAGTCAAGAACCCCAGCCCGCTCAGGGAGAGACCTCCCCAGATGCAGCTGCCCGACAAGTTCATGGAGGAAAGAGTGCTTTAGAAATTCCAAGTCAGTATTCATATTCATGAATATGCCTGAGTGTGCCTTTTGTTATTCATTTAATCACTAAATATCAAACTCTACTATGTACCAAACTCTTAACTAAGTGCTAGTAATTCAACAGTGAATAAGACAAACAAGGTACCTGAGGGAGAAAGAAACAATAAACAGAACAATTTCATGGTATGATTAGTGCTGCGAAGGAAATTAACAGGGTAATATGGCAGCATTATTAAGAGGTGGAGAAGAGGCATACTTTAGATATGAAATCGATATAGATTCAGGGAGTCACATATGTCTAACTCAAAAGCACAAATATTCAGCTATCTATTTGTCCCTCTTCAACCTCCATCCTATGATTCTATGACAGCAAACTTAGGAAATATGCTCTTATTTCCAGCAAAGGACAAGGCAAAAGTGCTAGTTAGAGATAATCAAAATTGAACTTTGAATTTAAGTAATTTTCATGCCAGACATTATATTACTTTATAATTATAGAGCTTGACAATCTGGTATTATAGAGACTAGACTGGATGTACAAAGAGATATATAACAAGATCTTTGTCCACAAAGTTTTTATAGTAAACAGTAAAAAATAGAATACACACAAAAGTAATCATCAAGAGAGCTCACACAGTTTCAGTGATAAGACAAATGCTAAGTGGGAGGCAGTTTTCAGATAGAGAACCATGGTAAGAATGGAGAGATCACTGGTATCTGATTTTGAACCAAACAAATTGAGTGAAATAAGAATGAAAAGACTTTTGCCAGCCAGGAAGACTGATAACACCTCCTCATAAAAGGACTGAAGTGTAAGTGATAAACTTTGTTCTCTTCCAATTAGAGTCTGGAAAATGATTACAGTGTAAGAAAACCATAAAGGATAACTTCATTCCATACTGTCAGCCTGAATTCTGGCCATTGATTCACTGAGATTTGTAGAGTTGTCTTCTGGTGTAAGAGACTGCGGGAGCTACAGAGATAAACCAGAGAGGCTTTCTTCAAGGACCTTCAAGGCTAAAAGCTAGAAGGGGAAATTGAACAGACAATAATTTTCATTTTGGGGCATAAGATGACATGTAAAGGACAGTTTAAAAAGTAAGAACATAGCACCAACAAACTTATTTATACCCTTGATTTCTTTAATGAACTTTTACATATTCCTTCCATCAACATTTTTTGAAGAGTCACAGGTTCCTAAATGTTCAGGTGCCACATTACCAATTAGAGACACCTACTCGTGAAGCTATGTAATCAAATCTCTTCAGGCATATCAGTGACTCAGTAGTTCATTCATCCAAATGTCCAGAACGCCTTTCAAAGTATGCACCTGTTTTGGAGCGTGATCTTTGTAGGATACATTTCACACTCAAACATGCTAGGAAATAGGGCAACAATAGACTCAGCTTCCTCTCACTGACAGTGGACAAAGGATTTCTTGTAGTGGAATCCTATGCAAGTCTTGCTTAATGGTATATGAATAGAAAGATGCAAATCTGGTGGAAATTAACATACAAGCATACACTGTAGGCACAAATTCAAACCAATCCTGGCAAGTCCTTACACTCACTAAAAGTCTTGTTCTCAGAAAAATCACTTGGGAATATGCCAAACGCAGATGTTATCAAAAAAGGAAAAACTTTTAAAGAAATTTATCATTAAAGCATAATAAATAAAAGCAATTATACTTTTTCCTACTTGACTTTTCAGAATGTGCCATATATATTTAGATACCTCATATTCTAAAGCAATCAAACACACCAAATCCATTCTTTCTAGAAGATAAATTCTATGACAGAAGGCAAACTAGAAGTTTGTTAGTGTTAGTCTGTTTCCTTCAATAGCTTTAATATACAAAGATCCAAGTTCAGCTTTTTCCAGAATAAAAATGCGTATTGAAGTATGACTAAATCAAACAACAGTGACATACCAATGCTGTTTACCGTCTCAATTTGTAATCTTAAGAAAACTGTTTAATCATGAGCTGTGCTATTTTGTCTTTGGTTTATTCAATCTTCTCTAGAGGCCACAGCCAGCTTTACCCACTTGCTCTCCAGGAACTTTTTTCTCTAATCTTAGCTCCACCCCACTGTTTCTTTCTAAGAATTGGGTTCAAGGTCCACAAAGTAGCTGGACTATACTTTTATGGAATCAAGTTTCTTGATTTGTAAAGCAATTACAATTAATGGAACTTCTGGAAGAGTTAGTAATGATGAGTGATAGGTGGAATCTTCGCAAAATTTCTGTATTTATTGATTCACTGGATTTCTGGTTTTAGGACTATGTGTATATTTCCAGGCTGACACTCCTGTTCTTGTTTAAAATCTCCACCATTCATATTTCTTCTTCAACACCATCAAATTAACAAATTATTTATAAAGAAGACTATCAGCAACCAAAAAAACCTGAATATGTAACTCAAGGACACAACTGAAAAATAACAAATCTTAGGATTTCCAAGTTTCTATCTATAATAAAATCCACCTATACTATTTTATTTACCAAGCTGAATTTATAACTTGGTGGAAAGATTAGGGATACTGTACTTTCACTTACAGGCAAAATAGAAAATTCTGTTTTCTCTAACAGAATTCACGAGGGACGCATATTGAAGATATACCTTTGTATTAGATAAAAGGGTGACAAGCTCAACTACATAGCTGGAAAATACTGTTAAAGAATTTGGAAAGTGCCTTGATTATATGACTTGAGATGATTACTTAGCCTCTCTGCAGCTGGTTCCAGGCCAGTAGAACTTGGAGGTCTGTTGGGAGGATAAATGAGATGCTAGAGCATCTAGCAAAGCACCTGACAAATGGCAGCTATTATTGTTATGTGGAATATGAGGGGATAAATACCATAGATGGGGAAAAAATCCAATGAGTGAACTTTGTGGGAGAGGATGTAATCCAAGTATTACCTTTCTATTAGCTTCCTTCCTGCAAAGTATTCTAGCCAAGACCACCTTCTAGCCTCTTTCTGCCAATCCTGTCTCCTGAGACCACAAAGTTGCTATCAACACTCATGTGGATAGTTCATGAGTTTCTTCTCCTAGCATAGAAAACGTCCTGTATCTTTAAGAAAATGTAAGAGAAATGATCTAGGAATTGACTAGAAAAAATTAAGCATGAATTTCTATGGAACTAAGTTCATATAAAGCAGTTATTTCTCAGGAAGACTTTCTACCATTCAGTTTCTAAGGAACATTTATCTTATCTTCAGTTGGGTACCTGACGTTGTCTATATGCCAACTTGTTTCTATTGCCCTGATTACTATTAGATACGAAAAATGAAATGGCACATTCTATATTGAATGTCATATAGCTCTGTATTCCTTTCTGCTTTCCCCCATTTAATAAATATTGTGAAGAATTTATACAAATTGGTTTCAAAACTTCCTTGTATTCCAGGGTCTAATTCTTTCCAGCCTACTTCTGAGGATCATTGAAAAAGTTTTCTTTATTTCTGCCCATCTCCTACCCCTCCACCCCCACTACAGAAACATTGTAAAGCTTAGCTAGATGGCCAGATTCTTCACAAAATCTAGCACCTCTAGCAAAATAAACAGGAATTTATGGACAGAAGTTAGGAAATTAGCAAGAAGGCCCATTCTGAGTCTTAGCATTGACCTTACTTCTGACAGGTTTAGTTTTAACTTCAAATTCTTATTTTCCTGGCATTGCACAACGATGGATAAGAAACAATAATCCATAGGGACGATGGACATTAAACCCCACAAAAAAGTACACATAAGTGGTCATACATCTGCCACATGGTCCCTCTTCTCCAGCTCAGACAGATTAATCTAGAGCCTCAGTTCTTTTGAAGACTGCCTACAGTCTTTCCTCACTTCCATGACATGGAAGATAAGGAAGAAAGTTTTTAATCTTAAAATGATTAGGGTCATGTTCCTTTTTTAGATTTGTAAAAACATAAAACAAAGAGAAATACACCTAGTTTTTCTACAGCCATTATTTATGACTGGTGACTCATCAGCTTTTGGCAAGCAGAGATGGGAGATTCAAGGTCAAAGACAATGTTCTATCATAAACAGGGATTCATGTTATGGAGTATGGTCACATGATTAAGCAATCAGTTTAAGTGGACTAATCCTAATCCTGCCTTTGATAACTTGTACAGGTCACTAGATATCCTGAGTAATGGCTCTGGCTTTGTTTCAAGTGCCCCTATAGGTGAACTTCAAAATTCTCTTGATGGCTTTATGAATTATACACTTAGGTTGTCTTTTGGGGAGGGAGGTGGTAAAGGGGATGTAGGGGTGAAGGAGAGATCTTGATATAATGCAATAATACACGGGGCATAGGTATCTCTCCATAACTTGGCATTCAAGGTCAATATACTGGTGTTTGGAAAAAACAGCTCTCAGTAGGGAGGGAGAAATACAATTTGATAAATAAATCGGAGGAAGACCTTTCACCTTGAAGGCTATGATGTTGTTCCACTCATCCCCTAGGCCCTGGCCTCACATTCCTACTCCAAATAGACTGGCAGAAATGTGGCCATAATTGCATGAATATAACCACACAACCCTTTGGACATTTTAGCTGCCTTCCCTGGCCTATGTCCTTGGGGTGCAGAGATCATAAGTACATTTAATTTTGCCAATATAATTTACAAAGGGTATGAAGTGTGAGTAAATCATGGGTTTACACTGGTTCTCAGCCAGAACTAGCAAAAACTTATGACCCCTGAAGTTCTGCCAAAAACAGTAAGTAAAATGATGCAGGTAGGGAAGAAAATAGGTCAGTAAAACAGAAATGTGAAAGACCTTAAAATTACACACACACACACACACACACACAGAAAGTGTTGTCCCCCTACCCCTCCACTTCCTGATTAACTTTGGCAGGTGATGGGAATTGATAGAGCACTGGCTACAACTGTAGTTTCATAAAGACAGAATTCAGGAGAATAAATGCCAAAAACTCACTACCATCACTATCACCAAAAAAAAAAAAAAAAAAAATTAAAAATCTTAGATTTGTATCCTTTTCAATATTGTTTAATAAAACAAGGGTACCATTTTCCCTTCTAATCTTTTGCTTTTGTTGACAACAAAAATAATTCCAAGGGATCATCTGTTACAAATTCTCACTTGCTCTTCCTCATGGCAATGGTTGGACTGAGAAGAGAAAGATGTTTATACAACTGGCACAGAATTAATTTAATGATTATTTGCAGATTTCAGTATTATTTGCTCTTTCTTTCACCATATACCAAACTGAGTTCTACTACTTCAGATAATCTACACAGGATTCCCTGAAAGCACTTTTCATGCAAAGAAATCAGACTATGCAGTTTATATATTCAAGTACTAGCAGAATCTGTGGCTGAATTACTCATACATCAGACTAATGTGCTGCATCAAAAGCAACCAACTGCCAGAGACATAAAAGGGAAAACTACCTCAAACGACTATGCTCAAACTTAAAGAGCCTTCTTTTATGAGTGGCCAATGATCTAGGCAAACAAGAAATGCTGCATGAACTGACAAGATTTTAGGAGAATAAAAATGAGCTATGAATTAGTGGGAGTAACTCTTTTGCTCAGAAGTTCTTGGCTAAGAATATCTAGTTTAGTAAGAACAGGGGTTATTCAGGAACTGCCTAGAGAATCTCATTTTAACTATTTACGGAAAAGACAGAAAGCAAACCTATGATTTGATTCTAAATCAGAATAAGACAATACTTTGTTTTCAGATACTGGCTTGAGGTCATTCCTTTCTATTATAAATTTCATCTTTTCATATCTCCAGTATACCTTGTTAAGCTGCTCAGGTGGAACAAAGGAATTGAGAAACTTGTTGGAGCCAGACAGATCCTGGAGGGACTGATTACACAGAGAATTATACAGCCACCAAGACTGTCATTTTTAACAAAAGCATGCTAAAGACAAACTTCATTTTTTAACTGCCTGTTGTCCAGTCTCTAGATCACCTATGCCTTCTGGGCAAATATGAATGGACTTCAGTTTGGAGAACAGAATGCTTCTCTATCCTTATCCTTACCATTGGATTGTAAATTCTATGAGAACCCTATCTTTTTAATCTATGAATCTTCTGCATTTTCTAACACCCTGCACACAGCTGTAGACTACAATAAATGTTTGCTGAAATAAATGCTTTTTTTTTTCATTTCTCTCTTGACAATTTAGACATAAAATGAATAAATTATTAATTCCTTAAATCTGTTAATGACATACTGGGCAAGCTTCAATTTTCTCTCTATGACTTTAATGACTCAGAAATGCTATTTTACAATATTTGATGGATGTGCTTAGGAGTTACTCAATAGCTCTATTATCAAAGTAGTAAATGTAGTGATATAGAAGTACATAGACAAGTTGAACTTCTTAAGGGTTGGAAGGGTACTATGAATTCATATAGTTTTACTTATTCATTTCATAGAAGCCTAGAGTGTGAGACCACAAAGTTCTGGGGAGAATCTAACATTTACATTTTCTGGCCTAATTAGCATTTATAGATATTTTTGCAAAATAATTTTTTTGTGTGTGACAAATGTGAGGAGACTGTAAACAAAACACATACTTGTCTTAAAAGAAGAAAGGAAGAGAACACTTATCTGGAACGACCTTTAAGTGTTGTGAAATGCCAAATTCAGATCCTATACCTGAATTATGTCTCCAGGGCACTAAACCTTGACAAGTCCACTTAAAAGGATAATAGAGAAAACAGCAAACTAAGAAAAGATCAACTTAAAAATGTTTTCACTCTGTACATCTTTCAGGTGAATAACTGCATGGAACCCGAACAAATGACATGGTACAAACAGTGGCATTTCCTTCCTATAATTCCAACTTCATAATCCTATTCTATCCTCACAGTATCTCTTCATGGTTCTGAGGAACCTAGGCACAGAGAGCTTACACAACCTATTCAGTGTTAAACTAGAAAGCTGTGGAGGCACCCTAGCTAGAATCTATGTATGCTTACTCCTGACCCAAGGCTTAATCTGTTAAATCTGCCTTACTGTTTACCCAATGTCACTATTTTGTACTCACAATTGTCACAATTTTGATCATTTTCCTAATCCCAGGTAAATTAGAAGATTTACCTAGCCTGCCTCTGGCCATCAGCAGCTCTGTTACAAAGCTTATCCTAACAGCACCCCTGCCCTCTGTTTATCTTATATAATGCATCAATGACAAATTAATCTCCTAAGGCACAGCTAGCTCTACTTCTCTGCTCAGAAAATTCCACCACCTACTAACTTGTCCATTGTCCATTAACCTCCTTGCTCTGGGTTCACAGATCTTTTAACTAAAAGCTTCAACCTACGTTTCTGCCTACAGGTGCTCTGTGTTCCTCCAACAACTCCAACACCCAAAGTTTCTCCTGTTGCTAGGACATACCCCATGCTTTTCTTTCTGGTATCTTTGTTCACATTGTTTCTTTGGTCCGGAATGCCCATCCTTACAGTGCAACAAATCTTCCTCATCTTCCAAGGTTTAGTTCTAAGACCTCTGAACATTCATAGCACATTGTGCCTCTCCTAATAACTAGGAATAGGTCTTAAAAAATACCGTTTTGATGATCTTTTCAATCTGTGCCTATTTCTGTCATCATGGTAATAAAATGGTACTGAGAAAAGGGAGAAGCACTTGAGTGGAGAATTTCTCCAAAAATTCCTTTTTACCTTCACTAACTGCAGACATTTAATGAGCTCCTCACGGATGCTTCCGCTTCTTGACCCAGCTAAGGAGAGAAGTCTAGCTCCAACAATTAGGCCTGAAAAAAAGATAGATGAGCCATTCTTCATCTATATGCAGACCACCTGAAACTGAAGCCTGAGTGCCCTGTCTGTTAATTTGTGAGTTATGGAAATTTCAGAGTTAGAATGACCTTAGAAATCATTACATGGAGCTCCTCAGCAATATACCAACTCTATAACTGTTCAAACATCCTTGAGGATGTGTCAGGCTAGTGTGTTGCTCCCTTCCAGAAATATACGGAAGCAAATACTCTCTTCCAGCCAAGCCAAGTAAGAAGATGCTCCACAAGAATCTGAATCTTGTTATTTGATGGTGATGATGTTGATAATAGAACCAGTATTCCAAGCTAAACTAGTATTTGTACTCAATGACCATTTACATATATTTCTCAAGCTATAACTCAGGGAAACATGGAGATAGTATCTGTCCTATTCTCCTTCTGGATTGTTACATGATCCAAATGGAATAATGAATGGGAAGAAATACTGATAGAGGAAAAAAGAACATATAACATATGTAAAAGCATTATTATTACTCTGTGAATTCTCAATAATGAAGCTGAAGAAAACTACTCACATCTTGTTTACAGACTGCACTGTAAAGCTGAGGTTCAGGCTATGTACACTCTAATGTACTTTTTAGGTAGGCATTCAATATCTGTTTGCTGAGTAATTCTGAGTCTGGGTCCAATAGTAACTTCATTTACTTTTGTGACATGTTCTTAGGCTTTTTTTTCTGAGCCACAACAATGTAGGATGTTTCCAAACCTAAGTGCACTTGCAGGATGGGTCTGGATTAAATAAGAATGGCTAGTCATTTTACAGATGGAAAGCTGAGGTTAACTGAGTAGCTGAGGTCCCGTGGCAGCTAGTCTAGTGGCAGTCTTCCATTAGAATCCAGATTCTGCCCTCAGGTCCAGTGTTCTTTCTCTTACTTGTATCACGGTACTTTGATCCAACTATCTTGTATCTTTATGTCTTAACATGAAGTTAGCCATTTTGCTTTCTGGGGGCCACCCCGACAACCTGAGATAAGGAAACAGGGTTGTAGTTTTGAGAGGCTTAGAAAGAAATACAGACATATTTCAACTGAGAGGCAAAAGTGGATACTCCCTACATTTGCGGTAAACCAGGGTCAAGTTATCCAAGTGTCCTGTCAAGTCTATGAAATTCTTGCCCATTAAATTATCCAGGAGGAGCTAAATCTAGTTGTTACCAACCTCCAGAGTAAGCTGTGTCTTGCAATGCTTCATACTATGCT